GTTATCAGGGAGTGTCCCAGCCTCCAAGTGCTGGATGCTGGTGGCGGATTTGCCAATGGGTGAGCTGCGGCCTTCGTTTTCTCCCACTCGACTGGCTGAATCCGCCTTGCTGAGACAGGTGTGATTTTTCCCGGGGTATTTTCTGCCAGCGTCACCCAACCAAGACGGTGCTGAAGTTTCTTGTCGGTAGGGAGCCATTTGCGGACTGCGCGACCCGCTTGGATGTATTTACCGCTGTTCGCATCGAGCCAGAATCCTCCGGAGAGGATGTGTTTGACCCGGTCCATGGAAGCAAATTTGCCAGCGATATCGCGACTCGGTGCGTGACGATTGCTAAATTCCGAGCAAAGCTTGAAAACGCGATTGAAGGACTCTTCAGTTTCCGTGGAGAAGCGCACTGCAGGTCCGAACCGGCGTACATCGTCGGGAAGGTGCGCCAGAAGATGCATTTTGATTTTCACCAGAATTCGCAATGGGTCCACGGCATCGAAGGCATCCATGACATTCGCAGCGGCGATGCTGAGCTGTGCGCAGTGTTCATCCATGTTGTCAATTTCCGATGCCCACAGCAAGGTCCCAAGCTCCCCAGCCACGCGGATGAGTGCAAGTTCTGCACCCGAGCACACATCATGAGTGTCGAATGCAAGAATTTGCATCAACGTCTTGAAGTGCTTTCCGATAAGGTTGTTCTTGTACTGCATCATGTATGCAGCGCGGATTGGCGGCACGTTCAACCCACTCAAGTCCGTGGACTGCATTCGAATGGCAACCAAGCGCCGGTCGTCGTCGGACCACTTTGTGTGTAGGTACGCCCAGATGTACTTGATGATTCCGAGCAGAATTGTGTGGAGAATCTCGACAGGTGTGTCCCGCGAGGGGTCGAGTCCGGTGATATCAAGGAGAGGGTTCATCTTGTCGCCAGGCTGCTCGTCCAACCATGTCTTCACCTCCTCTGCCATGCTCTCAGTGGTTAGCCCGGGGTCCGCAGCCTTCATTGCCTTCACCTTCTGGATGAGAAGCTCCATCCAGTGCTGCGCAATTCTGTCTTTGATTCCCGATTTTCTCTGAAGTTTCTCCAGGGCAGCTGCGTCCCCGCGCATAGCAATCTCGAATTGCTTTGTCAACTCGAGTTTGATTGCGGCTGCGTTCCGAGCAGCCCCCGCAAAATGCGCAGCGTGGTACTGCGCATCTTCCTCTTTCTCCTGCTTGGTCCCGCCCCATCCACACTTCCGGCATGGAAAATTGGCGTTCACGCCCATGTGCGAACACTCATCCGATTGTTGTGGGTTGTCGGCAGGAAGGCCCGGAACTCGGATGATGAAGCGTGCCTTCCGTCCTGTCGCTGCATTGAAACACCGCACAGGCTCCTTCTCCGTCGCATTGACCTGGTCGCGAAAGGCAGCGAATTGCTCGGCCGACGAAGCATGAGGTGAGCTCGAGAGAAAGTGGACATGATATTCTTGCTGAATGAGTCGTCCTGGCAGGCAACCGTTGCGCGTGTACATATTCATATGCTTGTTGTACTGCTTGGAGCGATTTCCAGACACGTCGTCAGCCCAGGGCGAGGCCATCAGCACATACAGGTCTTCTTCTTCGTCAATAAACTTGCGCATCGAGTTCGGCATCTCCGGAACGTCACTCCCTGCTGCCCAGTCGAATGGACCAAACGCCTGAATGAGCCCATCATAATTGCGCACGAGATCATCTGCGTTGAACGTTCCGCTTGAGCCCAGTGTCCACCTCATGTCTGGGTTGCGAACGAGCTGGTGACCGTCGCAGGTGAGCACCCCGTCTCGTCGAATCCAACGCTCTGGTATGATGCATTCCCCAGTCTTGAGTTGCGCGACTTCGTTGATCCAAAATCGCTTTCTACCGTTGTTGAACATGGAAGTGAGTTGGGAGGGATCAAATTCGGTCCACCGTTTCGCTTGGTACGTCTCAGAAATTGGGGTAGTGTTTTCTTCGGGGTAGAAATGGAGGTGCGGAGCGACCAAAGGATTGGCCATGTCGCGCGCGAGGACATCTCGAATGTCATTCATGTAGAAAACATTTCCGAGGAAAGACTCGATTCGCCGCGGTGCATATCCGCACTCAGCTTGCAATCCCTTCTGAATTTTGCGCAGTGTTTTTACAGAGGGAACATTCAAGACACCGAGTGCAGTGCAGAGATCCGCGACAGCCTGCAGCTGCGTCGCTGACCAACGATTTCGTGGGAGGTTATCAAATGCGTCAAAGAGCATTGCCTTTTAGATAAGGTTAAAGTGAGTTTTATTTCTTGGAGAAAAGCGGAATTTACTGACCGTTCTGCTGGGATATGGGTGGTATTCAGATGCCGCAAGCTGCGAAAAGTCGAATACATGGTGGATTTCATCTTCTGCTTCCTTTTCCTCATCGTCAAACAGACCCTTCGGAATCTCATCCGGAATGAACGGGTCGTCAACACCGTCTTCGGCATCGAGCGGTTGCTCCGGGGCGTGTGCATCGATGAGCAAGTGTTCCCAGGCGGCATCCAGATTTCGCCGTTCTTGTTCTGGATCCGCCATCGCCGGGAGTCGTTCTTCGCCAAGCTCGTCCATCAGCTCACAGCTGGCGGGCATGAAGCCCATCTCAAAGTCAGCATCGTGTGGTTCTGTCTGTGAGAACATAGAGGGGCGCTGTACCGCTTCCACAGCCACTGGCCTGGGGACTTCCCGTGGAGTCGGCGCGCTGTACGCTGCAGAACGCTGTTGACTCGCTTCGGCCTCGCGAGCCTTGGCAGCAAGCGCATTTTCCCAGAGCCCAATGTGCGTTGCAGTCTCTAGATGTTCTCTGAGACCAGTTCGTAGGACCGGCAGCCCGATCCCCGATTTGTTCGCTGCTTGGCAAATTTTGCAGCGTGCGCGTTCTTTGCCATCGGTGCCAGTGAAATATTCAAGATATGGCTGGATATCTGAGGGAATAAATCAGCGCAAGAATCGGCAATGAAGTTGGGCACACCTGCAGGCGGTTCAAACCGTTTTCTGCCCATTGTGCAATGCTGCGAGAGTCGGGGGTGTTTTCGTGCGGGTGGCAATCAAAAATGCGCGGTACCGTGACTCGCGCTTTGTTTCGAGACACTTTATTAACCTCGCATCACCAAGTGTCGCGCTGTCTCTCTTTCTGCCTCCCCAATCTCCCTCACCAATTCCCTCCCCACAATGTCTGCTTCTGACCGCACCACCGATCTTGTCGCACGGACCCGCGCTCGTCAGGCAGCCCATCTCACTGCCCTTGCGGCCCCCACCGAGCCATCCACCCCATCCCCGAACCCTTTGAGTGGGCGTGACACACAGCTCACAGCAGGCTCAAGTCCAGTTCAAGGCAGCAGCACTAACTTCAGCTTCCTCGCGTTGCCCTCTGTCGTGTCCATCGAGGACCGGGAACATGGTGACGAGATAGCCAAGCGGCTGAAACTCGACGCCGAGGGCTCTTCGGAGCTGACACGCTTCCTCGAGGTGAGTGGCATTCTTGATCACCGACATTCTTGACCCTTCTCCGCAGGAGCCCAGCAGGGACAAGCGCGATGTCATACTCGCAGGATACCTCATTCATCTCATTGGCCGCGAGAAGCAAAGTGCCACTGTCGCTGCCGCAAGCTGGCAGCCTTCCAGTGAACTTGAGGTCGGTCTACTTATGCCACCCGTGATCCTTGGTGCTGATTATTTACCCACAGTCGCTCGCTTTCCGCTTCGCGTGGGGCCTTCAACTCCTTCCAAACACGCGATATTATTTTGGTACAATCGAGACCGCAATCATGGTACATTGACCGTGCTTTTCCTTTCTTAAGTTGTTTGACTCTGTGCAGGCAGCAATGCGCAACGCTCAAGTTCCAAACCTCCCTGCCGCTGGGTCTCTGAACTCCGAAGCAATGGTGACTGTTGTCGCGGGCAAGGCCACAACTGCGCGGAGCCAACTCAAAACCGAGGTTCGTCGACTCGGGCTCTTCATTTCTTTGACTCGGACTCTGTCTCATCTTGTTGCAGATTGCGGAATCGCTGTTACCGCACGCGGAGACGCGCAACATCGCAGCACTGGCGGCCTCTCTCGTTCGCCACACGCCCGGGCTTGAGCCCACCTTTGGCATGTACCTTCGGCTCGCGTTTCTGGTGCGTGTTCTGTTGGTCTGTCGCATTCTGATGTTCTAAAAATCTCTTCCAGCGCCGTCATGTTGCCCAGAAACACAATCCCAATTCATTTTGGAAGCTGGTCGACGACGAACTCGAAGCTTTACGCGAGCCGGGTGCCGGCTTTCTTATTGAGTGCGTTACTGTTCTTCAAGCTGTCACGTCTTCACAGTACTGACCTTCCACCAGAGCTTTGAAGGAAGTATACGACGAAGATGTTGCCCGGTATGGAAAGCCCGAGGACGACAAGGACCACCGCGTCGGGAATCCCATCGGTCCATCCAGCAATCTCTGGCTTCGGATGCTATCAGTGGAGGTGGAGAAGATTGAACGCGTTGTCAAAAAAGGCAGGGGTGGGAAGAAGCGCAAGCTTGCGGCGCTGCAGGGAACTGAGCAAACCGACGAGCAGCAGAGCGATGAGCAGCAGACTGATGAGCCCCAGGATGAGATATAAGGCAATGGATTTTCTACTGTATTTCCTTCGTGTGTTACAATGCAAATAATGTCGCAATTTTCCTGAAATCATCTGTATCTTGAATCAAAACTGTGGCTCAGCTCGATAGAGAAGTAACGGCTTCTGTACCTTGAACTGCCGGTTGCCTGAGACCACCATAACAACAACCTTGTATCAGATTGACCCCAACACATTGCCCTCATCTTGAGGTCAATGTTCAGCCTCAGCTCAGTCTCATTCCAGGTTTGATAATGAATTGAGCATTAATCTTACGACAAACTTAGGTCAGACTTGAGCCTCAGCTGGGTCACACTCTGAGCTGAACCTAATATCAAGTTGGCTTGGTGGTGTAGTATACATAGCCTAGCCTGCACTGGTGGATAAGGGGAATCATGCCTGGTAGGGGCTGTGTAGTGTAGCGGCTGTCACGCCAGATTCTGATGGTGTGATCCCAACTTGACTTCTGGTGACCTCGGTTCGATTCCGAGCACGGCCTTTGGGCAGGTGTCACATTTTTGTCATTTTTTTTCTTTATATAAATTTTCAGCTTCTGGCACACTTGTCACCATAGCAACATCAGGGTAGCGAGACAGGGCTGAATGTATGCGTACGGGATGTTCGCCGGGACGGAGATGGAAACTTGAAGGAAGCCCCTGAATGCGACAACGAAGAGCATCAACTGTAATACAACGGGAAAACCGAGTACGGCAGATGCCCTGGAGGTAACTTGAAACATAGATGCCTTTGACAATGTATGGTCGAAGCGATAACCGATGGAAGGATGTTCACATGGCCTCGGTAAATTTTATCCATGTGTTGCGCTGCACTACATTTTTTGGAATGTATCAAGAATGTATCAAATATCCTATTGCGCTACCTTGAATAACTTGAGTTTTGCTTTGACTCGGAGTGAGTTTTTGCACTGCTTTGGAATGTGTGTAATAACATTGCGCCATGACATGATCCGAATATTGCGCAGGTCCGAGTCCGAGTCCTTGTGATGGGCACTTCGTTATCTTTTGCTTTGATAGCCTACTTGCACTCTGTTAGTCAGTAGATATCTTTACTTACTTGTGTCCCACTGCACGTGGATGGTTGCGAGTCACATCAGTCCAGTTCCCACGGTTCCGTGCTGCTGCTTGACTCGTTTTCAAGTCATTCCGGAGCTCTGAGTCGTTGTAAATCATCGGCACAGATCTTTATGAATGTGTATGCAATGAGTCATTGCATTACGACTCCTTTCAGTAGTATATAAAGGGCGCATCCCCCCTTCTGTGGATTACAACTTACTTACCCACTACCAATACACACGACGTGTACTCCGCATATATTGCGTGAACCTCTCACTACTGCGTGATTATTAGTAACGCTAAGTGCTTGCTACTTATTACTGTGAACTATACTCTCGACTTTTACTGTCTACTGCCGTAATGATACGCTCTCAATACGCTCTTGCCGTAGTATTAGATTAGCGATCATAAGAGCTTGCTGAATTATCGCACGCTCACGTCAAATAACGATACGCTCTTGTCTTAAGGTTTCTTTTGGTGAAAGGATTACTGTTGACCAAATATATAAGGGTTGTTGGAACCGGAATATATTCATTGCTATCGCCTATTGGCATTATATTTTTAATGCACACTACTCATGTTATCCCCGTTTCTATAACAGTCCTAACAAAGGTCCAGTGTAAGTAAGCTCGTGTAAAGAGTAGAAGGGGAAGGGGGGAGGGTCGGAATCGCTAGTGGCGACTCAACTCGGACATATGTAGAAAGACGCGGACAGACACAGATAGACTCAGATGGACGCGTGAAGAATCTGTCACGAGTGGACGAACTGGCGGCCGAGGAATCCGAGCAGTCGCGACCGGTTTTAGAGCCGCCCGCACCTCAGCGCACTGCGGCTTTCCGGGGGTAAAATTACCCAACCATGGCATGGTGGCTGTGCCTCGCAAGGTGTTTACTCAGCACATGCAGTAGTTGGCGGCAGAACATTTGGAAGAAGAACCTGATGACGAGAACGAGAGGGGTCTGGCGATGACTACGAGGAAGATGACTATAGTGTACGGTTGCGTCTGTCTTAGCACGCTAAAGCAGCGGGAAATTTTTCAAACCTAAGCATTTAAATACCTTACCAAACTTCCGACCCTTATTAAGCCCTTACAGTCACGGCCAAATTAAAATGTACTCGAGTAGCACCTTGTTTGGCAATCCGTGATGTCAGAGGGTTACTTGGATTGTGTCTGCTTTCGCATAGCATCTATGGTTAGTCTAAAGCATGCATGATATATTTACTGAAGCAGGTTCTTCAAATTCCGGCTAAACACATCTTGTAGCCCAGCAGAGTACCAGAAGTGGATCGACTACTGATGCAGAATATTGTAGTGCAAGCATTGACCTTGGTTGTATATTGCTGCAACATCTTGAGATGTATCTATTATCCACTTGTGCAACTCAAGTGACGTCTAAGAAACACTGGCATCAACTTTGGTTGTGACTGTACATGAAGATGTAGGGCAGAACACCGGGACTCAGCAAGCCTGCTTGACACCGATGTGATCGGCTCCCATCCAGACATATCAGGCACCATTTGATTGTCGAGGACAGATTGGCGCTATGCTGACTCCAGTTTAGCCGCTTTTACGCGGTGGCAACTAGCGATGGGTAGCACGTCATGGAGCAGTACTAGTGGTGGCGGGCGGCTATATTTTTTGTTTCCGTGTGGGTCCTCCGAGTTTTGTGTATAACTTAGATATCTCTACAATATCAATTTCTACCACAACTGAGGCGACACATGGCAGAGCCAATGACAAAAGTCAAATATAGCATCGACTCTTATAAGCCTACCATAATCTGAACGCATGCCAGTCTGAGGGATTTGGCCTTACACAAGATTATTTGACATCTTTGTGATGGCCTCATCAGCAATTTGACCAATAGATTGTGGATTGTTTGGCTTGTGTGGTTGTGGTCAAAAAACACACCCGCAGAGCTCAGACACTTGTCATTCTCAATTCTTCTAAACCTCTGAGAATGTTCTCATGTAAACAGATAATAGGTAGAAGAAAATTCGGGAAAAAAAATAAACTATAGGACGGCCGGATTGAACTTGCGACCTTGTGGGTCATGGTTTGTAGGATTGTCAGATTGCGCATTTGTTTGAGGTTGTTTGAGGTTGGACAACCTCAAAACCTGATCTGTCAAAAGTCTGATGCTGTAAATTGTGAAAAATCATACAATCTCAAGCCCATTACCTAAGGTAGCAGGAATACTGTACAGTTTCACTCAATTCGAATGACACACATCACACCCGATTTTGTGGAAACCCCGCCATTAATTTTTTCTCGATTTTTCTGGTTTGAATTTTTTTGATGTAATCATGTTTTTCGGATTAACTGAAATAGTACAGTAGAATTATTTTGCCTCCTCAAACAGGCCCAGTCTTTAATATGTGGCTGCCAAATCACCCATAGCAGAAAAGGTATCTGGATGATGGTCTCCTAACAGCTTTTCCCGCTGCTCTAAGACAAGGACCTCAAGCTCTTTTGCCTTCTCAAATTCGCCCAAATTCCAATATGTGACTGCCAAATGGCCCATAGCAGACAAGGTATCTGGATGATGGTCACCGAACAGCCTTCTCTGCTGTTGTAAGACAAGGACCTCAAGCTCTTTTGCCCACTCAAATTGGTCCAGTTCCTGACATGTTGATGCCAAATTGCCCATAGCAGACAAGGTATCTGGATGATGGTCACCTAACAGCTTTGTCCGCTGCTCCAAGACAAAGACCTCAAGTTCTTTTGCTTCCTCGAATTGACCCAGATTCCAATATGTGGTTGCCAAATTGCCCATAGTAGCCAATGTATCTGGATGATGGCCACCTAACAGCTTGTTCCGCTGCTCTAAGACAAAGACCTCAAGCTCTTTTGCATGCTTAAATTGGCCCTGTTCCCGATATGTAGATGCCAAATTGGCAACAGCAGACAAGGTACCTGGATGATGTATCCCTAACAGCTTTTTCCGCTGCACTAAGACAAGGATGTTGAGCTTCTTTGCCTCCTCAAATTGACCCAGATTCCAATATGTGGTTGCCAAATTGCCCATAGTGGCCAAGGTATCTGGATGATGGGTCCCTAACAGCTTTTCCCGCTGCTCTAAGACAAGGACCTCAAGCTCTTTTGCCTCCTCAAATTGGCCCAGATTCCAATATGTGGTTGCTAAATTGCCCATAGTAGCCAGGGTATCTGGATGATGGTGCCCTAACAGCTTTTTCCGCTGCTCTAAAACAAGGACCTCAAGCTTTTTTGCCTCCTCAAATTGGCCTAGCTTGCAATATGTGGCTGCCAAATTGCCCATAGCAGACAAGGTATCTGGATGATGGTTCCCTAACAGCTTTTCCCGCTGCTCTAAGACAAAGACTGTAAGCTCTTTGTTCTTTTGAAATTGGCCTAGCTTCCAGTATGTAGCTGCCAAATTGGCCATAGCATGCAAGGTATCTGGATGATGGTGCCCTAACAGCTTTTGCCACTGCTCTAAGGCAAGGATTTCAAGCTCTTTTGCCCTTTCAAATTGGCCCAGTTCCCGATATGTGACTGCCAAATGGCCCATAGCAGACAAGGTGTGTGGATGATGGTCCCCTAACAGCTTTTTACGCTGCTCTAAGACAAGTACCCCAAGCTCTTTTGCCTTAGCAAATTGGCCCAGCTTCCAATATGTGGCTGCTAAATTGCCCATAGCAGACAAAGTATCGAGATGATGGTCCCCAAACAGTATTTTTCGCTGCTCCAGGACAAAGACCTCAAACTCCTTTGCTTCCACAAATTGGCCCAGATTTCGATATGTGGCTGCCAAATTGGCCATAGCAAGCAAGGTGTCTGGATGATGGACCCCAAATAGTTCTTTCCGTTGCTCAAGACAAAGAGTGTCCAATATTGCTGCCTTGTCATAAATTCCTGCACAAGAATACACTCTGGAGAACTGTGTCTTAACATCTGGAATTATCTCTATATCCATTACTTGTAGTGCCTCAACATGAGACAGCAGTTGTAAACTGGCAAGCACCATCTCCTGGCTAGGAATCTCTTCAATGCACATTCCTATTATCCCCATTATACAATGATGATATGTTTTCTGCTTAGTGATTATACTTTGGCACCAATCACGTACAAGAGGGTGCATAGAAAAAGTCTTCTTTTCCGGATTATAGTTGATCAATGAATATCCTTGGATCTCATTTGTGATGTGTCTGAAAGTCAATGTGTCCCAATCCCTTGTTGATCCCGAAAACTGTAACAAAAATTTCAAAGGCTCCTCAAGTTCTTCTTTAGATGGCCCATGAGATGGAAATTTGTATCGGGAAGCATTTTTGAAAATATTTTCAGAGATTCCGTCATAGTGAAGGAATGAGCAAAGCTGTAAAAGCCTAGCAGCTAATGGACTAAGGTGTTTAAAGCTAATATTCCAAGTTGTATACACTGTCCAGGCATAGTTATCATGTGAT